TCGGCACCAACTTAAATACTAAATTTGGAAAATATAAATATATATATTTTTCCCCAAATTGAGGTGTTATTATTTCACCGTCGGTCACCTTTCCTATTACTGGTACAAATGTACCTATTCCCGTTCTTATATATATTAAAAAAAAAAAAAATCCACGGCACTCCGGCCTTCGGGTCTCGGTCCGTGGTTGGCAACCGTGAACGTTCTCGAGGCGGCCACATGACTCTCGAAAACATGACAAATATAATCGAGCAGTCACAACAGGATCACCCACTTTATCGTTGTTTCACATTCAAACAAAAACCGGTCACGGCTAGACGGAAGTTCGTCAGCAACAACGGCATATGCTTTATTTGCTTAAAATCGGGTCACCCAGCCAAATCTTGCACATCTACGTTCAAGTGCCGAAGTTGTGGCGGCAAACATAGCACGTTATTGCATTTGGAAAATACGAAGCCAACAACGGCAGGTGAGGCCGAGGGTTCGACGGAGGAAATCAAGACGCCTGTTACCGACAATACAGCCAAGTTCTCGGGTACTGCGCGGACGGAAACTACGGTGATTTTAGGCACAGCTATTGTGCGCGTGCGTAACAGCTCAGGAGAGCCACAAACCGTGCGAGTCTTGTTGGACAGCTGTTCTCAAATTTCTGCGATCACGTCAGAATGTGTCGCGCGACTCGGATTAAAACGTATTAAAAGCAGAATAGAAGTTATGGGACTTTCTCAACAGCCAGTGACGAAAGTGAAAGGTGTCACTCAATGTAAATTTATGCCACTTCATGCAGAAGGTCCGCAGTTCTGTGCTTCGAATGTTATCATTCTCACACGTATCACAACGCAGTTACCCAGTGATAAATTACCTACGGCGGTACGTGATCGATATCAACACTTAGTATTGGCCGATCCGGAGTTTGATGTACCTGGGCCGATCGATATGCTAATAGGAAGCGACTTGTACCCACATATGCTACAAGCCAAGGTGGATATTATTCACAGTACGGGTCTGCCGTCCGCCATGAATACTCATCTTGGATGGATTGTGGTAGGAGCATTAGATGCAACTTCAACGTCGCCCATGGTGTCATTATCAGCAATATCGACGCCAGAAATCGGAAGATTAATACAAATGTTTTGGTCTGTGGAAGAACCAGATGTGCCGGACATTTTGTCGACTGAAGACGAGCAATGTGAGGCGTGGTTCCGGAAATCAACAATTAGAGACGCATCCGGACGGTTTGTAGTGTCATTACCGTTTCAGTCGACGGTGCGCACTCTAGCAGAGACGTCAACGAGTCAGACGACGGTAGTTCAAGGTGGGAGCCCGGAAGATTTAGGTTCGTCGCGCGCTCTAGCATTGAATCGTCTGTATAATCTTGAGCGACGTTTGGCAAAAGATTCGGAACTGTATACAGCATATGTGAAGTTTATGGACGACTATTTAAATTTAGGTCATATGAAACTGGCATCGGTGCCAGGAAAGTATTTTATTCCACATCATGCTGTGGTTAAGCATGAAGAAAAGGGACTTAAAATTCGAGTTGTCTTCGACGCTTCGGCGAAGCCTACATCGGGAAAATCTTTGAACGACTGTTTATGTACGGGGCCGAAATTACAAACTGAAATTAGCGATGTTCTACTTTGTAGTAGATTCCACAAATACGTGTTCGTCGCTGAAATTTCGAAAATGTATCGGCAGATCAGAGTACGTGATGAGGATTGTGTCTATCAACATATTCTGTGGCGTAGGTCGCCGGAGGATGAGGTGCAGGAGTATCAATTGCGAACCGTCACTTATGGTGTAAACTCAGCGCCATATCTCGCACTGCGATGCCTGCGTCAATTGGACTCTGAAGATGGTGTGAAATTTCCCCAGGCGAAGGGCCTGTTAACCAATAACACTTATGTTGATGACATAATCACTGGTGCCAATACCGAAGATGACCTATTGGCCGTACAGAAAGACCTTATTAATTTATTACAGCTAGGTCAATTCGAATTAAAAAAGTGGGCAAGTAACTGCGATGCCGTGCTGAGGTGCGTACCGGTCGAGGATCAGGCTGTAGAAACAACTTTCACACCAACTGAAGACGCGACTTTGAAAGTGCTAGGAGTCCATTGGGATCCTACAACCGATACCTTTGGATATCATGGAGCCACCAGCGAGGGATCGATTACCAAGAGGACTGTGTTATCTACAATCGCGCGGCTGTACGATCCAATTGGTGCCTTAGGTCCGGTTTTGCTGTGGGCTAAAGGATTCATGCAAAAGCTATGGCTCGAGAAGATTGGATGGGATTCTCCGTTACCTACTTCGTTGGTGAACAAGTGGCGTCAATTCCTGGTTGAGTTACCATTACTGTCCCATGTACATTTACCTCGTCACATCGATATCCGCCAAGTAAAGGAAGTGCATATGGTGGGTTTCGCCGATGCATCACAATGTGGATATGCAGCCATAGTATTTTTACGGATAGCTGACAATTCGGGTCACTTCCATGTTTATTTTATCACGTGCAAAACTAAGATAGCGCCATTGAAGGCGTCACAAACGGATACTTCGTTGACAATTCCTAGGCTCGAATTGTGCGCGGCTCTACTTCTGGCCAGACTTTTGTCACACCATTTAGAGCTTTTAAATAACATAATAACCATTAATAAGGTCAAAGCGTGGACAGACTCCACCGTTGTTTTAGCGTGGCTTACGCGAGAACAACAGCAATTTAAAATCTTCGTGACCAACATACAAGCACTTGTGCCTAATTGTGAGTGGGCTCACGTGAGCACGAATGAAAATCCGGCTGACCCGGCGTCCAGAGGTATGCTTCCCAGAGAACTGTTGTCATGTTCCAAGCACTTATCAGGACCAGATTTTCTTCGTYAGGATGATGTTCACTGGCCGGTAATGCCATCCGCGGAGGTTACGGCATCATTAAAAGATTTACCGGAACTTAAAAATTCGGTCAAATGTATATTACATACCMACGAAGAAGAGGGTCACTGGGTAGAGCGGTTTTCCTCTATATCACGGATGCAACGTGTGGTCGGATATTGTCTTCGATTTGTTGATCGAGCGCGAAGGCGTCCTACGTCAACGGGACATATCTCATTCGCGGAACAATACCAGGCGTTGTATCAAATATACTCAAAAAATGTATTATTCCGACTTATACAAGCAAATCAGAGCTCGTCRTGACATTTTACCCGTAACTTTGGCTCAGTTGGCTCCTTTTGTGGACCATGCGGGGTTGATTCGAGTTGGAGGACGCCTGAAGAATTCTGCACTCGACGATGGCGCGAAACACCCTATATTGCTACCACAACGGTGCCATTTCACGGAGTTGATTATTTGGCATTATCATAAGCTATTGTTACACGGGGGAGCGAGAGTGGTGCTGTCAATGATAAGTCGACGATATTGGATAATTTCTGGTCGGGCTGCTGTACGTCGAACAGTATACTCTTGTGTTCCATGTTCAAAATACCGGGCCATCACTCCTCAACCGTTTATGGCGGAATTACCTGCTTCCAGAGTTACCGCAAATCGACCATTCTATAATGTAGGTATGGACTACGGAGGTCCATTCATCGTGAAGGAGAGTCGCCGGCGTGGAGCTCGGACTCATAAAGCGTACTTGGCCTTGTTTATATGTATGGCAGTAAAAGCAGTGCACTTAGAAATTGTGACTGATCTATCAACAGAATCATTTCTTGCAGCTTTGGACCGTTTTACTTCGCGCCGTGGAATTCCAGCTAATATTTACACGGATTGCGGGACGAATTATGTTGGCGCAGCGAAGCAGATTAAGACCTTGCTTCAAACGGATAATGCACGTCAGGCCGTCTCTTCTCGGGTTCAATGTGAATGGCACTTTAACCCTCCGGCGGCGCCCCATTTTGGTGGGCTATGGGAAGCCGCAATCAAGTGTTAAGAACCCCTGAATGGTACATATTTTAGTTTTATATATCTATATATGTTATTAACATATATTAACACATATTTTATTACAACGATAATGCAGAGTGTGTCGTACGACGTTGCTACCGTGGGAACCGCTGAATAAGGGTTTTCTTTATGTGAGACGGA